GAGATCAGAGTCCTTCAGGGACAGTAGGAGGAGCTGGGACGCTGGAGGGGGATCGGGCAGGGTCGCCGAGAGGGAGGCAGGATGGTAGGAAGGTCTTCAAGGGGGTGGATATCCAGATGCTGGAGAGCAAACAAAAATAATAATCACTACAGAGCAGCCAACGCTCTCTGAGCCTCACTGCGTGCTAAGCGCTTTGCATAGATTAACTCACGGGAGCCTCACAGCATTCTTCCGTGTGCTGCCACTGTGATTAGCAGCTCCGTATCACAGAGTAGGAAAATGAGCAACCGAGTGATTCAGCTGCACAGCTCGGGTGTGATGGAGTTCGGAGCCCGTGAGACGGGGCTCCGGAGCGCGGGCTCTTAACGCAACTGGCTCTCAGCACGAGTGCTTTGGGGGCGCACTGTCGGGAGTTGCTTTTGGCAACCTCACCCCCAGCGTTCCATCCCGCTTTCAGTAACCCCAGTTTCTGCTACCTGATTCCCTGTGTCCCGAACATTCCGCCCTGCGCTCAGGGACCTCATCACTCTACTCCATCCTCCAGCCTTCTGTTTTGGTCTTAGTGACCTCAATTCACTCCAACCCTAGATCTCCCAGAATTCCATCCTACCGGTAGCGGTCCCTTCCCCTCTGCCCCATCCCCAGCATTCCAGCCCCCCTGTGTGACCCGGACCCCCGACCCCATCTCCACCAGTCTGGCCCAGCTCTGCACATGCGTACCCATCCCCCATCTCCCCAGCCCTGCCCCGCCCGCTCCAGTTCGATCTCCAGCTCCCCGAGGACCCGCGGGGGCAAAGTCGGGCGCGGCCGTCAGCCCAGAGGCCGGGCGCTGGGGTGGGGGGCGCCCTCCCGGTCCCCGGCTCACCCTCGGGGACACCACCTGCCCGCGCGCGCGTCTCCGGCCACCAGTGCCGCTGCGGTATTTATGAGTTTTCAGATACCGAGGCATCCCGCCGCCCACAGCCGTCCCAGCCCCGGAAGAGCCTGCCTTCTCCAGGTGACGGGCCCCGGGTCCCACAGGTCCGGCCGGTCCTGGGCGCCCCACGCCCACTCGCCCACCCCTCCATCCCCAGGGCGGGGCGTGGAAAGGGGGACCCAGGAAAGTTTGGTACGCCGCCGCCACCTCCAAGCTGGCCATCAGGTGAGCGCCAGGACAGGTAAGGCTGCGTTTGTCCCCCAGGCGCTCCACCCCGCAGCTGCAGAGCCAGGGTACGGACACCCGGCCCACCCCTGGCCCTTGCCCGGCCCCGCGGTGCCCGGGTGTGCTGGCACCAGCGCCTGCGACCCGGGGGATCCCTCTTTCTTTCCCGTCGCTCCGGCTTCATCTTCCTCTCAATTCCTTCCGCCTTCCTCCCTCTCCGAGCTCAGCCTATGGATTCCTACCGAGACCCCAGGGGAAGCTGAAAACACAGAATCAAAATTCCCGGAACGACCGTGCAGCTTCCGAGCTGTGCGCCCCCGGCGGGTTACTCGACCTCGCTGGGCTTTGGAGTCTTCTTTACCCGTAAAATGAGGATGATAATGATACGTACCCTGTGGGCTGTTGTGAGGATTAAGCAAGTTGACACATGAAATTTCGTGCTGAGAACACAGCCTGGCTCAGAGTAAGGGCTGGATAAGAATCAGCTGTTGTTTTTATTACTATATTAATGCATGAACTCCAGAAATTGCCCTGGAGTCTAAGAGGGAGCAAGTGAGAATTTGTAAACCTCTGTGAACTGTTGGAGGGTTGTGAGTGGCTTCCCACAAAGTATGCGGGAGTTCCTGGGGCAACAAGAAAAGTCTTAATTGCAGGTATACAAATATTTTAAAAACAAATATGTGATACGGTAATATATGTGCGTCTTTCTTAATGCATTACTTCGAGATCTAGTGGCAGGTTCCAACATTATGGTAATTTAGAAATTCTGATGAGTGTGTAGAAGGTGTTTGAGAATGCCGCAGTGTCTGTAATGGGAGTTGAGAACATCTGTGATTTCTCCTCATCAAAGCCAGAGTCCGCTAGGCTCCTGTGGTCCGTTCCCCACCCCTCCTCTGCCCCAACCCCCTTCCCCTATACTTCCCCCAACCGGTGACAGAAGGACACGCAAGATTTCAATTACATCAGCAGTTCGTAAACTTAAAAATTATTGAGCTTTTGTATATGCGGGTTCTATTAATATTGACTAAGTAAAGAAATAAAACAGAACTATGTTGTATACCTGAAACTAATGTGATACCGCATGTCGATTATAATTTAAAATGATCTTTAAAATAAAATATAAATAAAATTGAGACGTTTTTAAAACACAAGAATACAAGTGCATACAGAGCAATGATATCACAGGTCAGGTAGCCTTTAGAGAAGGAAAAAAACAAACACAACTTAGTATTATTAGTTTTGACCTCATTAACCCCCGAAAAAGGTCTTGGGGACTCACAGGGTTTGAGGACTGCAGACTTAAAAGACAGCAAAAGCGAAGAGGTGTCATTTTTCCCATCCAAATTCACACAGGCTCCGAATTCCATCTGCCAGTTCAGGTTAAGGGGCCCCCCTGGATATGTGCCTGTTGCTCCCGATGTAATGGATAAGGGCTCATAGCTCACTTATGACCCTTCCCTACCCTCGGATCAGCCATGGAACTATTTCTAATTTCTCTTTTTAGATACCTTTGTTTTGAGAAATATACTCCACTTCCCTATTTCTTAGCCCAGTCCTTAGAGAGATGACTTCTGTGGTGGTGAACAGAGCATCTGCTCTCGGACCAGAGTGTAGATGTAGCTCGAGTGTTCCTCATTATGCCTCAGTTTCCACGTCTGTTAAATGCAGATAATAGACTACTTCAAAGACGCTGTGAGGATTGAATAAGGAAAGAGCTGCAAACATCTCAGAACAGTGCCTGGCACGGAGTCAATACCACACACATTCCTTCCAATTATTTATTGTACCTAAGATATCTAGTCTGTCCAGTTTGTAAAATAAAGCTATAGTGAACCTACTTTCCTAAGTCATTTTTACATTATTTAAACCTTTTTTTATTGTGAAATATGACAACCATCCAGACAAGTACCTGAAACATAAATGTTCCACTTAATGAATTATGACCAAGGGAACACGCTTTGTCACCACTGCCCGAGTGAAGAAACAGATCTTACCAGCTTTCCCAGGCCCCTCCTGCCTCCTGACTTTTCCCTGACTTAGGTTGAAGTATGCCTCCCTGCATACAGGAGTTTCAGTTTGCCTTTTCTCTGTAAAATGTGAGCAGAATTGTGCAGTATGAACTCCTGTGCCTGGCTTCTTTCTCTCAATATTGTGATTGTGAAATTCAGCCAGGGTGGGCATAGAAGCACAGTCCATTCCTTCCCATTGCCAAGTAGTAGTCCATGGTGGGAATACACCATAATTTATTTACATACCAATGTAAATTCGTGTACATCGTTGATGTAGATTTTCACCGTCGATGGAAATTTTAGTTGTTTCCTTTTTTTTTTTTAGCTCTTGCAAATAGTATTGCTGCTAACATTCTAGTACATATTTTATTCTAGTATATTCACTACATAATCGGAACATATATACACATTTCTTTTGGGCCAGAAGCCAGGAGTAGAAGACTGGGTCATAGGGTGTGTATATAAATATAAGTTTATCTTTAGTAGATAGTACCAAAGAGTTTTTTATCTTTATTTTAATATTTTAATATTATTAATGCCTAACGTACTTCCTAGATAGATGGTCTCCCATCCACGTACTGACCAGGCCGATCCTGCTTAACTTTCGAGATCAGACATCTGGCTTGTTCAGGGTGGCATGGCCATAGACTGTGGACTGTGGCTCTACTGGGCTTGAACTCAGGACCTTCTGCATGTAAGGCAGGCGTGCTAACCGCTACAAAGAGTTTTACGAAGTAGTCGTAACAATCTCTTCTCCTCCCACCAGCCAAGTTGGGACTTTTTCATTGCTCCACATCCTCACCAATACTTGACATGTCAGGAGTTTTATTTTAAGCCATTCTGGTGGATGTGTAGTGGCAATGGTTTTAATTTGCATTTCCCTGATGAGTAATAAAATTGAACACCTTTTCATTTGCGTGTTGGCCTTTGGGATATCCTTTTCAATGATGTGCTTATTCAAGCGTCTTGCCTGATTTTCTGATGGGGTTTCCGTTTTTAAAGTGGATTTATTCTTCATATGCTCCAGGCACCAGCCATTTGTCGGTTGCACGTACAATAAACATCTACTCTGTGGCTTGCCTTTTCACTCTCTCGATGGCATTTTTTTTTTTTTAACGCCTACAGTACCTGGTATTCCTAGGTGGTCTCCCATCCAGGTACTAACCAGGCCCGACCCTGCTTAGCTTCTGAGATCAGACGAGATAGGGCACATTCAAGGTGGCATTCGATGGCATTTTTTAATGGTCTTTAGTCCAATTTTTCAATCTTTCTCTAATGGAGAATCACTTTTATAACTTAGTTAAGAAATATTTCCAGACCTCCAAACATGCTGATATTCTTTTACGTTATTTTCCCAAAACATTATTATTTTACATTTAAGTTGGCAGTCTATCTGGAACTGATTTTGTGTGTGGTGTGAGGTAGGGTTTTAATTTTTATCAAATACACGTAGCTAGTAAAATAAAGATAAATGAGTCTACTTTCTTAAGAAAATTTTTTAAAAGTATTTTTCCATTATGAAAGTCATATCTTATTACTAAAAAATAAGAAAATAAAAAGACCCAGAGAGGTTTAATGGTTCAGGGAACTGACAAGCCTGGATCCGAATCCTGGTTCTGCCACTTCTTGGCTGGGTAAGCTTGGGTGAGTCCTGCCTTTCACTTAGCTTCAGTATCCTAATAAAACTGGCATCGCAGTACCTACCTCACAAGTGCCTGAAAAGATACAGTATGTGAAGCTGGTAACATGGGATAGGGCACAAAG